TAGCTCTACCTCTCAACGCCTTTCTCTTGTATAATTGACTTCATCCTACCCTGACTTTCACCATTGTTCGACACTGGCTCCGTTTCTCTGAAATCGCCTCTGTCTCTCTCAATAATTCAATCTCTCCCTTCCTTCTCTCTACAAACCCTAAACTGCTGCCACCACCACCAAAATCGATCACCACATACCCCACCACCATCACGGCTTACCGCAGTCGCCCACCTCACTACCACTGTCAATATGCTTCATTAATCATTTTTGTTACACATACCCCACCACCATCACGGCTTACCGCGTGTTAGGGTTTTGTTTGCTGCTTTCGATCCCACCACCATTTACAGGTTCGATTTTTTCTTCTTTTTTTTGGTGACGTTTCCATCAATTAACAAGGATATGATTTTGATTTTGGTGATGAATTGATGCAGGTCTGATTTTATGTTCATTGATGGATTGTTTGCTGCTTTCGATCCCACCACCATTTACAGGTTCGATTTTTTTCTACTTTTTTTGGTGACGTTTCTATCAATTAACAAGGATATGATTTTCATTTTGGTGATGAATGGATGCAGGTCTGATTTTATGTTCATTGATGGATTTCTTGTCCAGATCCGATTGTATGTGTCATTTGGTTTAATTTGAGTCTCTTCCTTACTTGAAAAGAATGTTGTGCTGAACTGCACGCAATATCAGTGAACTCCAAGAAAGATTGGATCCTCTTTCATCAAAGAAGATGAAGCAATAACTTGGCTTTAACTGTCTGACAAATAACTATTGGGTGCGTCCTTAATTAGGACATCAATCGAATTGACTCCTTTAAACCCCACGTCCACCCTCAAACTGTTTACCAATCGATTCTCTATAAACCCCTTTCTCTCTCACTGTAAACGATTGAATAGTACCAGGACCGATTAAAAATAAATTGGTTTTCGACCACAAAAATGGACACCATCATTGCCCCTTCAACCACCAAGTGTCGTGGTTATTGTGCTTTGCCTTCTTGGTCCCATATTTTTTTTTCTGTTTAACCCTTTGTTATTTTTCTGAATTGCTATATTGAATCCCAGGTCTTATATTATAGGATGTGTCGTTTTAAATATTTTCGAATTCTCAATTCTAAGTTATGGTAAACAAAAGGTATCTCTTCATGTTTGTCTTCTCAACAAAAACTCCATTGTTCTTGAGGTAACAAACCTTAAAATCCAAACCTTTTTATGCTATATATATTTATGCACTGATATGTAATAATGCGCACAAACCTTTGTGTTGAAAAGTTTTTTCCTGCTGTTTCATTTTTAGAAACGTTTGACAAAGTAAAGTTTTATCTATGGTATGAACATTATATAGCACAGTTAAAATGTATGTCTCAATCACAAAGTTTTGTCATAGTTTGCTGCTTCACCTGAGAACCGCATGTTTGTATAATGTAACTTCTTTTGTCCATAGCAATTTGGTTGAAAGTTAATAGTTCAGGTCTGTTTTAATCATATTCAACAATACCAGAACTGTGACAAATTGGATCCTTTTTCATCAAAGAAGATGAAGCAATAACTTGGCTTTAACTTTCTGACAAACAACTATTGGGTACATCCTTAATTAGGACATTAAACATTCAACTCTCATGTTTTTTATTTCATATAACATCCAACATTCAGCAAATATGTGCAGGTGCTCTGAGGCTCACAATTGTTTCTATGTTCCTGATGTTGCAATGTTGTCTAAGGTACAATTGTCTTTTATGAATGCCTTGAAAGTTTTGTTTCTCTCTATAATTTTTTCTAGAATTTAAGGAATTATTTAAGATATTTGGAGTAACTTTTATTCTTTTGATTCTCAAAGTATTATGAAAATTGCCCTCTAAGATGTGGCCACAACATATTCACATCATATCTGCACATTGTTATTTTCCAATGATTTGTTTATAACATAATGATTTCAAATATTTTCCTTTTACAGGTGAGTTCATACATTTGAGGCCCTTTGGTCAAATAAAAGTTAGTTGAATTGATAGAAACATGGAAGATGCTCAATGTGCCAAGAGCCTCCTGAAAGATGTCTTCTTCTGTTTATTTGTATAGATTATTACTTTTGATCTTAGATATTTTTATTTATCATCAATTGCATTCAGTTGTTTAAGTTCAAAGTGACACCGCTGTAATGTCGTATCCAATGGCTTTTGACAAGGGTTGTCCTTATATGTTATGTATATATTATTACTTTTTATTTTTCTTTATTCAAACATTTGACGACAATTAACTTTTTCTCTTTTTTGGTTCACAATGGACGTAAAGAATAGTCTTATTAATAATTTAAGTCTACCGGAAAACATGTGATAGATCATGTTTGTGTTTAAACGACACATTTTAGTCAAAATGGAAAAAAAAAAGTTGTAGACCAAATTGTGCATAGCCCTTTATATATGATTTAAATTGAGTGATATTTTACAAAGGATAAATATAGGTGATTGAGTGGCATTTTAAATTTGGTTTTGATTTTTGTCAAACAAATTCGTTTCATTCAATAATGTTGCTTTTGAAAGGGTATATAACGGCTGCCCATAGGAATGAAATTAGTTTTACCTTTAGCATTGAAAACACCATAAGGTTTTTGTCTTTGGTTTATATCATGATTGCTTTTTTTTATCATTAATAATAATAATTTGAAATTTTGAAGGTGTGTTATTGAAATGATAATGAAAACATGATAAAGTTGACTAAAACGTTTGTATAACAATATATATTAAAACACTTCACTTAAAATTTACAATCATTTTCTTGAAGTTAATTAGTTTAAGAAACTTCTATGTTAACTTATTCTCAAACTAACATCTCAAATTTACATATCATATTACATCGACAAAAATTAAAAAATAAATTTCATCTAAATAACAATGCATTATACCGTAAAACGACTACTAAATTACTATATAATATACTATACTAAAAAAGTTCTTGTGATGCTCACTGTTGGTAGTTATTCCTCAAAGAAAATTGGTATTTGTCCATTTCAAGTGTTATGTTTTAATCTTTAATATCTCCATGGGTTATCAAAAAACAAACTTTTTTACCAAACTAAGCAATGTACTTTTTTTTAATCAACAATAGAAATTAACTTGGATGTGTATAATAACTTTTTCATTCCAACCACTTTTGCAAAATCAGATCATATTAAAATTCCATAAATTCAACACCATTAAACATTAAACTTATTGGAAACAATCCAAGGAAAATCAACACCATAAAACATATAACTTATTTGAAACAATCCAAGGAAAGACAAAACCAAAAAAATTCCAGCATTATAAAACAAATCTACTAAAAAAACTTAGGTGTTAACAACTACATCTTCATCACCCTGAGATGGCTGGTTTTCAGCTGCAACAGTATGCAATCCATGTCTGAAAATAAAATTGAAGGCATTAATAAGTTTAAATCAAACAATTAAATAACTACACATATAATGACAAATAGAAAAAAAAACAGTGTTTGTCGTTCCTTTGTAAAACAAAGGACAAATGATCTTACCCGACATCAACATGAAATTCATCACCTTCTTCATCACGGAGCCTATAACATCTGTTTCGGCTTTGAACTTTGACACGAGGTCTATTTGGTGGTGGTGACAATGTTTTTGGTTTTGTTGAATCTGATGTGTCAACCATTTCCACAGCTTCATCATCCAACTTTTCATCTTCAGAACTTAGAATATCAACAACCTCATCCCAATTCCAGTTTAGCAATGCCCATTCTCTTTTCTTTTCTTTCTCCCGTTTCTCATGCATACAAAGTTGAAGCATGGTTTGATCACATTCCTGCTTTTCTTTATTGTTACTCAAGTTCGACATTATAGCTGTTTTTCTATGTCAAAATTAGTATTAGTTACAACAAAACAAATGAATCAAAAGAGAAAACAAAAAAATACATGAACATACCTTCTTCCCAGGTGGAATATTCTGGTCAATATGGAATTTTACAGAAGCATACATAGCTATTTATTGTAGAGAGCTTACCCACGTGTCATTATTTTCCCGCTCAAAATTATTCCTATCCCAAATTATAAGGATCTATGTTACTCAACATTTTAATTTCGAAATTATCTTTACAACTTATATCATTATTAATTTGAAAAACATAACACTAATTTAACCTAAAAAAGCTCCCACAAAATTAATACGTAATTAATATTTTACCTTATAATCATAGTGCTTATCGGATAATAACTTTAAACTGACGAATTACACAATCTTTTCACCTCAGAAACAAAATTAAGCAAATTGTTTAGAAAAAATATATGTGTGTACAACACCAACTATTCATTTGCATCAATGGGCGTAGAAGTGGATGAATCAATGGCCAATATGACATCTGGGGTATACACTTTTTGTGTGAATGGAGGAATATACCATAGAATCGACCAGTTAGTTCCAAGGAAAAAGGATGAACCTAAGTTCTTACAATTGTATTTTTACGATGTTGAAGTTGAGATGTCAAATAGACTCGAATGGAAAAATCTTGCTAAACCAATTGTTGAAATTTTGACTCGCGTTTTTGCTACAAACCCATACGTTGCAATATTTCGTAGCCTTGCTGGTCTAGGACCGCTCGACAATTACAGAGTCACTTTAAATGTATCGGTAGAACTAGACTAAAGGGTGTACAACCGGCCAACCACATCCGAGGTTTGAAATTAATTATGTACATATGTTTTTGAAAATAAAATAAAATTTTCATGTATTAAATATAACTATGCAAATTACATACCAGTTTTAATCATATTTTTTCTATAATATAATTTCACAGGTTGCTGGTATTTGGATTGAAGGTAATGACAACATAACCGCATATAAAAGAAGTATTATAATAGTTTATGGAATGTCCGACAAACCAAAAACAATTCAATCTTATTAGGGATGTTATGATCCATTATGTTATCCTTTATTCTTTCCAAATGGTGAGCCTGGATGGCATTCTAACATACTAAGACAAGGGGTTTCATTCAATGAGATGGTTAATGACGACCAAAACTTCGATGAAGATCTAGAAGGTACGCATAGCCACATATTTAATATCGTTAAATTTTACAAATGTAAAAATTGATATAATTTTTTCAATTTAATCATTATGTAGAGACTGATATAATAATGGGTAGGAAAACTATAACTATGCGGGAGTACTACTGTTACAAGTTGCAGATTCTATCAAACTTGAACGTAATTATGTTAGGAGGGAGATTATTACAACAATTTGTGGTAGATATCTACATCAAGATTGAGACTTCGCGTTTGGAATTTTGTAGAAAAAACCAATCTACAATAAGAGCGGAGTTATACCAAGGTGTTGTGGATTGTGTCAATGCCGGTGAGGTACAACCAAGTATGATTGGGCAACATGTTGTTTTGCTAGCAAGTTTCATCGGAGGTCCCCGTGACATGCGACGACGATTTCTTGATGCTATGGCTTTAGTCCAAGATGGAGGGAAACCTGATATATTCCTTACAATAATGTGCAATCCGAATTAGCCTGAAATCCAAAATGAGTTACTTCATTGTCAGACAGCTCAAGATAGACCAGATCTGGTTGCAAGAGTTTTTCGTGCTAAGTTACATGACTTTAAGGAACAACTCTTGAAGAGGCACGTCCTTAGTGTGGTGAGTGCATATGTTTATGTAATAGAGTTCCAAAAACGTGGTTTACCACATGCGCATTTTCTGTTAATAATGAAACCTGAATGGAAGCTCACCAATGCAGACCATTATGACAAGTATGTGTGTGCCGAAATTCCAAACCCGACAAAGTATCCTACACTACACGATATGGTCAAATCACACATGATACATGGTCCTTGCGGTACATTAAAAGAAAAATGTTATTGTATGCAAGGCGATCGACCAACCTGTCGTTTTAGATACCCTCGACAATTCAACGAAACCACAACACAAGGAAAAGACGCATATCTGGTTTATCGAATGAGAGATAATGGAATTGCTGTGAATAAACAAGGTATTATGATGGATAATAGATGGGTTGTCCCATATAACCCAAACTTGTTGATGATGTTCAACTGCCATCTAAATGTTGAGGTTTGCTCGAGTATAACATCAGTGAAATACATCTTTAAG